ATAAAAACAAAACAAATGCATTCATTATTATTATGTCAGTGTGACATGAACGACATCTAAGCAAAGCACAGGTGCTGGCTGCTCTGCCTATGTTGCATCACACAGTAAGTATCATAATTTGACTTTGCCCTTCTCAGCAGAGCTAGATTAGCCTGTATTTCAGCGAATTGGTATGTGGACATTCTGGGTTTGTGTCCCAGTCAAGGAGTCCTTTTCATCACTTCACCTTTCACACAGATAATGCCTCGCTCAAGGAAATCTTCTGTTTTAGAACCACATTTTAAAAATTTTTATTCAGTTTGTGTTCATTTTACAGCAAGGATCAGCTTGTCAAACATGCAGGTGCACATTACTCCACTCAAAGTTTCATCAGATTGCTAAAGAGATTTAGTTATGCAAGGTTTACATGGGCCGAAAGTTCACTGACCCTCAACTCCAACATTCTGCACTGTTAGGAACAGTGTTACAGATTAATCCATTTTCATGCTGAATACGAAAGATTGTGCAGTGTGCACTAGGCTGTGTAATTAACTTTCTATTACTTTGCTCTACGTGTGCAGTTTGTATGTTTGAAATGTCAAAGATAAAATGATAAAGTTACACTAGTATTGGTTTTATTTCATCTCTGCTTCTATGACTTTTATTGTACAGTGTTAAAACCAGCTTCTGTCTATTAGATTTGTACTGACACGTAGAGGAGGATGTCTGTGACTGTGAAGAATCCATTTCAACATATAGTCGAGTCTCTGGACCCCAAGAACCCAAAGCAGCAGTTTTTCAATCTTTCCAAACTTGGTGACCCCAGATATGGTAACAACAAAGCTGTCCTGAATGAAGGTATAAAACTAATTCTGAGTGTGATTGTATAGTTATAGCAGTACATATTCTTCCTCAGACCATCTGCCGTTCTCCATCCGGGTCCTCCTGGAGTCTGCTGTCAGGAACTGTGATGAGTTTCTGGTGAAGCGCTCAGATGTAGAAAATATCCTCAACTGGAAGCAGACCCAGAGTCAAACTGTGGAGGTACCGTTTAGACCAGCCCGTGTCATCCTTCAGGACTTCACGTATGTCCACACTGATCCTTTTTATCAGAATGCCAGTGAATTGTTCTATAGGTTTTGAACAGATTGAACATTTTACAAAGCACTGCTGAGTGGAAAGGCACTTTTTGAACCCATGAGACTTTTATTTAGTTATTTATTTATTTCAGGGAAACCACCACTGAATTGACATGACCCTCATTAGGATATGTGGTAGAGATAATGGATATACTGTACATATACAAGCAAGTGTAGCCAGTAATTCCCTCAGTCTGTTATTTTTGTCAGAGTTTTGAACTGTAGTTTTCCCTTTTCCAAAGTGTCTCTCTAGGCTCCTCTGTGTGTTTTTGTGCACCAAGCGCTTCTAATGCTTGAGTTAACACAGGCCCGGTATAGTCATGAGTGTGATGTTCTTGCAAAATGTTAGGTGCCTGCACATGCTGTACTTTTCAGTGTAGACACTGTGAGTTTTATGGTTTTCTCCAGTGGTGCTAAGTACTAATACTAATAGCAGCAGTAATGGTATGTAAAGTGCCTTAAGGTGATCTTTTGTTGTGATTTGGCACTATACAAATAAGACTTAAATGAATTAGATTTTAATTGGTATTGACAGATATTTGATCTGTATCGAGGCCAAGAAATCTGGATCAGGACATTCCATATTTTTATTACTGTCAACAAATCCCATATACAGACCCAAGCCAGCAATGAGTCTGTATTTCTGTGCCATTGAGCTCTACAGTGCCTTGCGAAAGTATTCGGCCCCCTTGAACTTTGAGATCTTTTGCCACATTTCAGGCTTCAAACATAAAGATATAAAACTGTAATTTTTTGTGAAGAATCAACAACAAGTGGGACACAATCATGAAGTGGAACGAAATTTATTGGATATTTCAAACTTTTTTAACAAATAAAAAACTGAAAAATTGGGCGTGCAAAATTATTCAACCCCCTTAAGTTAATACGTTGTAGCGCCACCTTTTGCTGCGATTACAGCTGTAAATCGCTTGGGGTATGTCTCTATCAGTTTTGCACATCGAGAGACTGAAATTTTTGCCCATGCCTCCTTGCAAAACAGCTCGAGCTCAGTGAGGTTGGATGGAGAGCATTTGTGAACAGCAGTTTTCAGTTCTTTCCACAGATTCTCGATTGGATTCAGGTCTGGACTTTGACTTGACCATTCTAACACCTGGATATGTTTATTTGTGAACCATTCCATTGTAGATTTTGCTTTATGTTTTGAATCATTGTCTTGTTGGAAGACAAATCTCCATCCCAGTCTCAGGTCTTCTGCAGACTCCATCAGGTTTCCTTCCAGAATGGTCCTGTATTTGGCTCCATCCATCTTCCCATCAATTTTAACCATCTTCCCTGTCCCTGCTGAAGAAAAGCAGGCCCAAACCATGAGGCTGCCACCACCATGTTTGACAGTGGGGATGGTGTGTTCAGGGTGATGAGCTGTGTTGCTTTTACACCAAACATAACGTTTTGCACTGTTGCCAAAATGTTCGATTTTGGTTTCATCTGACCAGAGCACCTTCTTCCACATGTTTGGTGTGTCTCCCAGGTGGCTTGTCGCAAACTTTAAACGACACTTTTTATGGATATCTTTAAGAAATGGCTTTCTTCTTGCCACTCTTCCATAAAGGCCAGACTTGTGCAGTATACGACTGATTGTTGTCCTATGGACAGAGTCTCCCACCTCAGCTGTAGATCTCTGCAGTTCATCCAGAGTGATCATGGGCCTCTTGGCTGCATCTCTGATCAGTCTTCTCCTTGTATGAGCTGAAAGTTTAGAGGGACGGCCAGGTCTTGGTAGATTTGCAGTGGTCTGATACTCCTTCCATTTCAATATTATCGCTTGCACAGTGCTCCTTGGGATGTTTAAAGCTTGGGAAATCTTTTTGTATCCAAATCCGGCTTTAAACTTCTCCACAACAGTATCGCGGACCTGCCTGGTGTGTTCCTTGTTCTTCATGATGCTCTCTGCGCTTTAAACGGACCTCTGAGACTATCACAGTGCAGGTGCATTTATATGGAGACTTGATTACACACAGGTGGATTCTATTTATCATCCTTTGTCATTTAGGTCAACATTGGATCATTCAGAGATCCTCACTGAACTTCTGGAGAGCGTTTGCTGCACTGAAAGTAAAGGGGCTGAATAATTTTGCATGCCCAATTTTTCAGTTTTTTATTTGTTAAAAAAGTTTGAAATATCCAATAAATTTTGTTCCACTTCATGATTGTGTCCCACTTGTTGTTGATTCTTCACAAAAAATTACAGTTTTATATCTTTATGTTTGAAGCCTGAAATGTGGCAAAAGGTCGCAAAGTTCAAGGGGGCCGAATACTTTTGCAAGGCACTGTATTCTTGTCCAAAAACACATCAGTGAGTCACACGGTTGTCTGGGTGACATGCTCCCTCATTACCATGAGCATACACCCTAGTTTATTTAGGCTCAGTTCCATATACGCCATCCTGCTGCCAACAGTACTCACCAGAGAACAGACTGTGGATGAATCCATAATGATGCAGCTTTGAAAACTTGGTGTCAAACAAAAGCCTCCGGGGTTTATGAACTGCTGAATATGTCAAATTTCTCCAAGTCATAGAAATCAAAGTGAATATTCTGGTGAATTCTTGCTCTGACCTGTTGTGTTTCTAAACTGCCCTTACAGTGGTGTCCCTGCTGTGGTTGACTTCGCTGCCATGCGTGATGCAGTGATGAAACTAGGCGGTGACCCAGAGAAGATAAATCCAGTTTGTCCTGCTGACCTTGTCATCGATCATTCCATTCAAGTGGATTTCAACAGGAAGTAAGACCAGTTTCATCAAACTCTTTCCACCATGGCACCATCAGTTCATAGATTCAGCAGATACTACAGCAGCTCTTTTTTTTATTTTATTGAGGCTTTTTGTCTGCAATTTACCCACTTTGCTTTTTCCTTAAGGTCTGATAGCCTTCAGAAAAACCAGGATTTGGAGTTTGACCGCAACAAAGAGAGATTTCAGTTCTTGAAAGTACAAACAGTTAACAAACTCTTTTTAAAGTTATTCTGGTGGGTTTTTCTTGAGCCCTTAAATATATTCTCATTCTTCCCAGTGGGGTTCTAAAGCCTTCAAGAACATGCGAATCATTCCTCCTGGTTCAGGAATTGTTCACCAAGTCAACCTGGAGTACCTGGCCCAAGTGGTGTTTAACCACGATGGGTTCTTCTACCCCGACAGCCTGGTGGGCACCGACTCCCACACCACCATGATCGATGGCCTGGGTGTCCTTGGCTGGGGTGAGACCATAGCTGATGATTGTAGAAGATGTTAATCTGTGATGAACTATTGTCATTAACTTCATTAGTGTACCCCTTTATTCTCATTTTGCCTTTTCTGTGTCTGCCTCCCCACATGTCATACTCAGCTGTGAGTTACATGTGTAGGTAAAAGTATAAAATCATGTTACTAGAGCAAATTAGGTGTGCTGTCTTCATATCCAGCATGTCTTGTGTTTATATTTAGTTGTGACTAATTTGGGAGCAGAAGACTATGACTGTGTCTGTTTAAGCAGATATAGACAGCTGTTTGCAGTTGCCACAGCAGCTGGAACGGTGTTGGAAACCAGCATTTTTCAAAGATTGATTTTGTGGTTTTGTTGTAACCCACTGCATGTTGTAGTGATAATGATAAAATTATGGCGTGATCACTAAAACCTAAATGAGATTTGTTGTCAAACCTTCAGGTGTGGGTGGAATTGAAGCTGAGGCTGTGATGCTGGGCCAGCCGATAAGCATGGTGCTGCCTGAGGTGGTGGGATACAAGCTGAGCGGGACCCCAGAGAAGCTCATTACCTCCACTGACATTGTCCTAACTGTCACTAAGGTAATGACAGTAAGTTTCTATTAAGCTTTGTCAACACTTTTGTTAGATTAACATTGCTGACCTTGTGTTCTTCCTCTTTCCTTGTGCTCTCAGCACCTCCGCCAGGTGGGGGTGGTGGGGAAATTTGTGGAGTTTTTTGGCCCAGGGGTGGCTCAGCTATCCATCGCTGACCGAGCCACCATCGCAAACATGTGTCCAGAGTATGGAGCCACAGCAGCTTTCTTCCCTGTGGACGACATCAGCATTCAATATCTTGAGCAAACCGGTGAGGGTCCATCTGTGGAGTTTGAAAATAATACCCACCTCCGCATGGTGCATCTGCAGGACTGTGAAAATGGACAGTTTGATTTTACACCACTTTTATAAAACATGTTGCAATTACGTCTTATTAGGGATGGGCTTTTCAAGCAAAAATACTGTTCAATATTCACTGGGAACTATTTGACTATTATTTGAAGCTACCCCCACAAAAGCACCATATTGCTAACATTGTCATGTGGTCATGCTGTGACTTTACCTGCAAGTCCCCAGTGTCCCACAATGATGGAAAGCAAATTCACTAGGTTTTTAGCAGTATGCCACTCCGGGATAGCCACTGACCGTTGATCTGCAGACCACACCCCACTTTCTGCTGGATGCCTCACCTTCAAATGGCTGTGCATAATTGTTGTTGATTTATGATATGTTAACTTAGCCTGGCAGAGTTTGCACTGCATCTCATGTGCCAGTAAAAGCAAGGGGAAACAGTGGCTCTTTGTTTTGGAAGACAAAATCATAGTTGCACAAAATATTCAGTTTTTTCAAAATTGAATTACTACTCGAATATTTGAAAATCATTGTCCATCCTTACTACTTATGATCCTACCAACATGTCCCACAAATGTCAACATGATAGTATTAATATGTTGCCTTCATATATGTTTTCTTTTGTTTATTTTAAAAATAATTTTTCCTCTCTGATACGAGCGGTTCTTTTTCATGTTTTGTTTCCCTTGTCTGGATTTAGGACGAGAAGCAGAAAAGCTGGCCTACATTAAAAAGTACCTGAAGGCTGTGGCCATGTTCAGAGACTACACTGATGTCTCTCAGGATCCAAACTTTACTCAGGTCAGTCATTTTGTTCTAGACTGTTCAGCCCATATAAGAAAAATGTCAACATTAACAATTGCTTTTTTAATTTAAAGAAAACCAGAAGGTCAGGATTTTTTCCTCTCTTTTTGCAAAACGTTGTAATGCAATAACAAGACACAAAGTATTTATGATAATATAGTAAAATGTATTGCTTTGTTATTATGGTGCACAGGCAGAGCACAGTGGGGCAAGAAATGTAAAATCTCTGTGTCTTTCAGGTTGTGGAGCTGGATCTGAGTTCAGTGGTTCCATGCTGCAGTGGTCCCAAAAGACCCCATGACAAGATTCCTGTTTCTGACATGAAAAAGGATTTTGAAACCTGCCTGGGAGCAAAGGTAGGTGCCAATATGTGCTCATGTTTACAGTACTTCCACACTGGACTGGTTAATTCTACAATCTTATCTCTCCATTTGGGCCTCGTCCTCGTTCTGTGGTGGCATTTTTTTGCATCTAAAAATTTAACTGCAAACCGTCTCTAGAGTGTGTACAGCTGAAAACACTGGTCTCACATTCAAGTGTGGGTGAGGAAAGCAGCTTTTGGAAAATGATGGTGCAGTTGGCTCAGATGAGCTGTGTGGCAGTCAAGTTAGGGCTCATTTGAAATGATCACAGGGAGTAGGAGGCATCAGAACAGATTTAACCAGCAGAGTCAACAGCTGTGTCTGTCCCACTCCTGACAGCATGATGGCTGTAAAGTACAGGTTTGCTGACTGAAGATGCACAGGAAAGATTTTCCTGCTGTTGTGAGGTTTCAGTATTGAAGCAGTCATTACAACCTGTACTGCCTACTGTAGACTCGCATTTCACATTTTGAAGCATCATGTGAGTGAAAGTCACAAAATAAGCTTCAGTGTTACCAAATTTAGACTTCTTCTTATTTCCTGTTTTAAACCTCTTTATATTTCTTGACTTTGATACAGACAAATTTTAAATGATACCTGCCTCTGCTGTTTCTCAGTACTACTTTAGGGTGATGATCAATGTCTGTGACCTAACTGCTGTTACTTTCAGCGCACCAGTTTTCTGATCAAAATAACTCAGCTTTGTTTTGTGATGCTTTCAGCAAGGTTTCAAGGGTTTCCAAGTGGCCCCTGAGCATCACAGCACTACAGTCCCCTTCCAGTTCAATGGAAAGGACTATATATTAAACCACGGCTCCGTGGTCATTGCTGCTATCACGAGCTGCACCAACACCAGCAACCCATCTGTCATGCTTGGAGCCGGTGTGTACACTTTTCCTGCTGTAATTTGTGGAATATCACAGCATGGGATGTTATAGCTGTCAGAGTTATTTGACAGAGGCATTGAAGATGAATGTTTTTCTTTCAGGACTCCTGGCTAAAAAGGCAAGAGAGTGTGGCTTGAGTGTGAAGCCGTACATAAAGACCAGCCTGTCACCTGGCAGTGGAGTGGTCACCTACTACCTGAAGGAGAGTGGTGTTATGGACTACCTCTCTCAGCTGGGGTGGGTTGCTTAATGCTGTCAGTCTGTTGTTGTCTGTGTGTATGGACGGCCCCAGTATGTCTTGGGCTTGAAAGTTCATTCTTGACTTTGGAACATATTAGTTTGACACACACACACACACACACACACACACACACACACACATACACACACACACATCTGTACACAGTTATCGGTGTAGGGACAACTTGTGCTGGCACATGGACCTTAAGAATTTAAGATTTTTTTTTTAAATCAAACCGCATAAAATTCAGTTAACATTAGGTTATCACAGATATATTGATGTTGTCATGTATGTGTATGTTTGCTGTGATTTTAAAACTATCACCAGAGAATTGTTCAGTTGTGAAATGCTCCATATGTTGCTTTAATTTCCACATTTAAGGGGCTATGGTCATTTATTATACGTTAAAATATATTTGTTTAAAATTCCTGGTAATATTTTAACACATGCTATCAGTTTGAGTTTGTGTTGGCTTCACAAATCATGTTAGGCTTCAAAGCTAATTTCTTTTCAGCCATTAAAGGTGCTTTATCACACTGATGCAAAAATCATATCTATATCTACAGTAGTGCATTTATAACACAGTCCTGATCACTTCTTAAGAGCATGGCCTGCAGTGGGCAATTAAATTGGATCAAGATAATAAGATAATTATCCAGATAATGTAAAATTCCCTTACATCACCTGGTAATACCAGATGATACAATAAACAGTACATCAGGATAATAAGTGCTCTCATCTCTAGGAGACAGAATGTATCTCCACCCTGAGCTGTTTCTAAAGGCCCAGTCAACTGAGTGGATGTAAACGTCTGACCCACTAAAATCGTGATGTAGAGAATTATAAGTGAAATAATCTATCTGTAAACAACAGCTGGAAAAATATTGCGTGTCGTGCATGAAGTAAATGCCTTAACCAACTTGGCAAAATGAGTTTGTTAACATGGTATCTGTGGAGCAGTTAAAATGTTTTAATGACTTTAACTTATCTTAACTTCTGACTTCAACTGTGTCATACTGTCCAAGTCTGAAATCATATTTCTTGCATTTTACCATGAAATGCTCATAGCCAAGTTGTTGGACTTGTACTCAATGATGCACAAAAGTGCAGCAATACAGTATGATTTTCACTCATGTACACAATTATCTTATCTTTCCTGTTAGCTTTGAGGTTGTTGGCTATGGTTGCATGACGTGTATTGGCAACAGTGGGCCGCTCCCTGAGCCGGTGGTGGAGGCCATAACCCAGGTACCAGTGGTTTACAGTAGGAGGCAGCTTCTTTGCTTTCAGTCTCTGTTTAGTTCTTTTTCTTCCTCATTTATCAGATTTTCTTTTCCCAGCATTCCTCACTCTTACATTGTCCTGTGGTAACATGAATATGCCAGATACATTTATCTTGTCCCCCTTGTTTATTTTTGTTGCCATGTTTTTTTTTTTTTGTTGTCCTGGTGGGTCTCTAGTCTCACAAATTAGATAAACCATACATAAATTCATACAGTAATTCTTGTTTTGCTTCGAGGAGATGACACTGATTTGGGTTTCAGGGAGACCTGGTTACCGCAGGTGTCCTGTCAGGGAACAGAAACTTTGAAGGGCGAGTCCACCCCAACACCAGAGCTAACTACCTGGCTTCTCCACCGCTGGTCATCGCGTACGCTATAGCAGGCACAGTGAGGATCGACTTTGAGAAAGAACCCATTGGTGAGTAGCTTTGAGATGAACTGTGCCGCCAAACTGTTTTGTTTGATCAGTAAACTTGTAATCACCATTTGTCACACACAGAACAAAAGCATATTAGTCATATGTCAAATGTTGAATATAAAATGTGCTGCTACTGGTTTTAACTGCAAAATCTGGCTCGCTGCTTAACCAAGTGAATAAAGGTGATCTGTAAAGTGAAACCTACAGGTTTAACCAAGAATTCTACCAGTTCACAGCAACTGTCAGATGTTTACGAGATTCATTTCTGTTCCTTGTCAGTAAATGCAACATATCGGCCATGTGCTGTATCTTGAGCTTGTCTTAACATTTTCTGACTAAGTAGCATTAACTTATCCACTCCAAGCAGCAGGGATGTGTATTGGAATTATGAAAATAATTTTCTGAGCATTTTCAGTGATTATACTTATGCTATTAGCTTCTGCAGACAGTTGGAGAAGTTATCACCAGTTGTTCACAGCTGGTTAGTTCTAACACTCATGACAGGAATGCACGTCATCAAGCCTGGCACTTACGTGGACTGGTTATGGTCCATCAGTGTCCCCACACCCCCTGCTACATCATACACCACACGGTTGTTGTGATGATGTTGTCAGGATGTTTTTACCCTTCAAATGATACAGGCTATTGAAGGATAATATTGCTACTGGGAGCCAATTTGGTGGTGAATACTCAGTTTGAGTTAATGTGGGACATGTACTGCAGATAAGGAAAGCTCCATGTCTCTTTTTTTAAACCCAGTAAATCTTTGGGCCTCTTTACAGATAATACAACTACAAGCTGGGATAAAATGTATATTTCAAAGGTTACTTTGTTTTCACAGTGGGATACTGTTGGATCAGGTACAGTGTGACTTTGGATTAAAAAATTACAGTTGCATGACTGTTGCATGGTTTGACAAACTTGACATAGAAACAAATAGTTTCCAGAGAGTGACTGATGTGGGTGCAATGCAGTCTAAATGTCAAAGTGAGTTAAAATGTATCTTCTTTTAGAATAAGATTAGATTCAACTTTATTGTCATTACCCATGTACAAGTACAAGGCAACGAAATACAGTTTAGCATCTAACCAGAAGTGCAATAACAGCAGTGCAGAGTGCACAGTATGTACAGTCGGTACTAATTTACCGATACAGTATGTACAATTGATACTTACAGTAAGTTATATAAGGTAATATACAACAGACTATGGAATTAAATTACAAATAATGGATAAAGTACATTAAGCTTATAAAACACTAGTGCAATGGGATGAAATAGTGCAGAATAACAAGATAAGTTACATTCAAGATTCCAGATTTTTATTTGCCATTTATGCATAAACAGACAGTCTATGCATATAGGAATTCTTGTGCAGCTCTTCTTTGGAGTCAGGTAAGGACTAATAAGCCAGAAAGAACACTTAGTCTTAAAAAAAAAGTTACATAAAGGCAGGCAAAGCATTAAAATACACAAAAATAGAGTATTAGTGTTTCCTACAGTGAACTTCAAACATCGCACTTAGTAATTCACATGGTGGAGTTGGATATGGCGTTCCACTTGGTGAGGTAGTGACGGGTTACTGCGCATGTCTACTAAGGGGTTATTGCACATATGTTCTCACATTTTCATATTGCCATTAATCTGATTGCGGCAAGGAAAAAGCTGTTGTAAAGTCTTGTTTTGTGTGTGATGATACTGTCCACCCTGCTGTGCCTGAGGCTGTAGGTGCAGTTTTTGTGTCTGAGCAGAGAGTGAGCTGGGTGGCACAGATCTCTGATTATGTTCTCTGCCCTTTTACGACAGCGCTGTGTATAGTGTGTTCATAGCAGGCAGTTCAGTCCCAATGATCCTCTCTGCAGTCTTTATGACCCTTTGAAGAGCCTTCCTCTCTGCCTGTGTGGTGTTACCATACCAGACTGTGATGCCAGTAGTGAGGATGCTCTCTACCAGTCCTCTAGAAGCCTGGGTGAGAGGGCAACAGTTCAGTCCAGCTTTTCTGAATCGCCTGATGAAGTACTGTATAGCTCCTGCTGGGCTTTCTTCACTGTGGCCGCTGTGTTCAGTGACCAGCTCAGGTCAGGTGTCACCTGCAGGCCCAGGAACTTGTGGCTGTCAGCCCTCTCCACCTCAGTCCCTTTGATGGTCAGAGGCAGCAGAGGGGAGGGGTTCTTCCTGAAGTCTACTATTATTTCTTTTGTCTTATTTATGTTGAGGATGAGGTTATTCTCCTCTCCATAAACCAGAATGTCATTCACCAAGCTTCTGTAACCCGACTCATCTCCCCCTTGATGAGGACCAGGATGTTGGTGTCATCAGCACATGAGTGAACAGTTCAATGGATATAAATAGTGCAAAGATAAATATACAGTACCTGTATAGTACAGTAGAATAAAGTCATTTCTAGGCCTTGAGACTACTTTCACTGTGCATTTTTTGTCATTTTTGAAATGTCACCAGATAAGCCTTGGGTTGGAAATTAAATTTGAGATCACTTTTGTGGGAAATGTAAGCTTTCATATTTTCACAACCAGAATATTATTGTGCTTAAAAAAACACGCAAATCTAGATTTCAAGCTCTTTAAATATGATTCTTTTGTTCACTCTCTCCTTTGTAGCCATTAACTCTGAAGGCAAAGAGATTTTCCTAAGGGACATCTGGCCCACACGAGAGGAGATCCAGGCTGTGGAGAGAATGTTTGTCATTCCCTCAATGTTCAAAGAAGTTTATGAGAAGATTGAGGTAGTGTAAACTGTTGGGGAAGGAAACGGTACATGTGTGACTGCCATGATTCATTTGACATCATACTGTATTGTTTTGTTGCAGAAAGTGAATGAACGCTGGAACACTCTGGTTGCTCCCTCTGACAAGCTGTATACCTGGGACCCCAAGTCAACCTACATCAAGTCACCGCCGTTCTTCAATGGCTTGGTAAAAGTACACATCACTTACTTGGTTACCTCCACTGCTAATAAGTAGAAGTCCAAGACTGGCAAAATTACAATTGTCATTTTTTTAATTGGGTTGCTCTTTATAATTGATTAATTTTAAAGTCCATTTTACATCTTCATGTTTGTAAATGTGGGACTTATGCAACAATTGCACCAAAAACTCCACTGAGAAATAATGGCCATTGTAATCCAAAGCAAAACGTCCTGATTTTATCTTTTTTATAATGAAACCATTGTCGTAATGGCAGTGTTCTCCAGATTCTCCTGTGAAAACTGTCAGAGTCTGTCTTCAAAGCCTTTGGTTGGGATGTAAAGCTCATTTGGCTGAAATGTGCCAGTCAGACAATCAGATGATCCCATTTCACTGTTTGGAAATAAATGTCTAAGTTTTTTATTTTAGTTTGTTTCAACTGTCTTTATGTATTCAGACATGAAAATGATTTTTAAATACACAGTAATGGAACATTTTTATGTTTATTTTAATCATTTTTCTTAAATAAGTTCATTTTAATATTGGCAGCCCTGGACTTCCTTACCACTACTCTTCTACCACAGTTACTTCTTATGCTTTGCCGTGTTAATTCTACTATCCTGAATAATATTCAGTATTTCCCCTCATCATTTACACTATACTGTCTTGACATCAGACAGTGAAATTGTTATTGTTGTATGGTCATGGCTATATCTCGTATCATCTTGTTTTTACTCAGACCATGAAGCTGCAGCCTCCTAAGTCCATACATAATGCCTACGTGCTGCTGAACTTGGGAGACTCAGTCACCACAGACCATATTTCTCCTGCAGGGAACATTGCCAGGAACAGCCCTGCAGCACGCTACCTGACCAACAGAGGGTGAGGACCTCACTGCTTCCAGCCACAGCAGAATACCTTATGCAGGATATCTCTCTCTATTCATTTTTAAACAGTCTGTAAGACACTGATATAGACACATTAAGATACAAATCTGCGGTGACAGCACACTTCTGTCAGACTTTTCTTCTCCAGCATAAGATCACTACACCTTGATATAGAGGGAAACACTTGAGAATGTTTAATAATAATGTTTTATAACGCACTGGACAGGAAATATTGACATGTACTTTGTCATTTTTCTGTCATCTCCTGGCTGACATCACAGCTAATGTTGTGGTGTAAAATGGCAACATGCATTCATTAATTAATCAGCTCTACTCGGATAACGAGAGAGACAGTAGGAACGAACCTTTATTACAGTCTACATTTAAACTGTGGGTAAAAGCTCTCCGCTTTGCTCTGTTGTGCTGTGACAGTTTGACCACTCGTGACTACAACTCTTATGGCTCTCGTCGAGGTAATGATGCTGTAATGGCCAGAGGGACGTTTGCCAACATCCGTCTCTTTAACAAGTTCCTCAACAAGCAGGCACCACAAACCATTCACCTGCCAACTGGAGAAACGGTCTGATTTGTTGTTGCTACTCTCATTCAACAAAACTGTCTTTGTCTCATTTTGTAATAATGAGCAGGAAAACCTGTTCATATAGGGACTGTAGGTCTACTGTAATGTCTTACAATGTTTTTCATGATTGTCAAGTTTCATCTGGGTCAGACCAAACTCACACAATGTCTCAGGGCCTGAAATGGGTGCTTCTATTTAAGCCTGAAGCAAAAACCTCAGTGTTGTGTCACATCATGGAGGCTGGATGGACTATTACACATAGACTAACTCCGGCATATATTGCTGTCTTTGTCCAGGTGGATGTGTTTGATGCTGCAGAGAGGTACCAGCAGTCTGGTGACCCTCTGCTGGTTCTAGCAGGGAAGGAGTACGGCTCAGGGAGCTCCAGAGACTGGGCAGCGAAAGGACCTTTCCTGCTGGTGAGGGACATTTACCTTCAGTTTCCTACCCATGACCGAAAATATTAATTCAGAGTTTGGAACTGGTACTGCAGTGTCACCTGTATTAGGCTAATTTAGGATGATATTTTATTTCTTTGACAAAAAAAGTTAACTTTTCCCAGAGCTTTCATTGGTGGATAGAGTTTGGGTTTTTTAGGGAAATCAGAGCATGTTACTAAGGCTGTTATTTGTTTTTACTTATTTCTGGCAATAGTCACAGTTGTGTTAAGTAAGGTTTTCTAGGTAACATTACCATGGCAACAGGAGATGCAGAATGTCAAGTGCTTTCTCCTTGCATCTTTTTCCTCGCATCTTATGTGGGTAGGACGGAGATGGATTCAATTAAGGGAACTGGGATTTACCCTCTGAAATGGCTGATAGTGTTTTATAGGGTCTAGACTGAACTTGGTGTTTTTAAATTTTGAAGGGTATTAAGGCAATTCTAGCAGAGAGTTATGAGCGGATCCACCGCAGTAACCTGGTTGGGATGGGAGTGATTCCTCTGGAGTATCTACCAGGAGACACTGCTGACAGTCTGGGGCTGACCGGCCGAGAACGCTACACCATCATCATCCCCGAGCAGCTCGCACCCAGGATGATCATCAGTGTTAAAGTAAGTTGACAGTGTCCTAGAGAGCAGGGACATAATTCTGTTCCTAATGTAATGTGATACTTAATGTTATCTCTCTGTGCCTTGACAGCTTGACACCGGAAAAACATTCCAAGTGCGGATGAGATTTGACACAGAGGTGGAACTGGCATATTTCCGCCACGGAGGCATCCTCAATTACATGATCCGCAAGATGTCTGAAAACTAACACACTGAGTACAGCACAGGAAAAGAGAAATGTTTTATTTCTCTTTTAAACACAGAATAATACCGTCCAGGAGTAATCGAATCATTTTTCATGTTTGCTGCTCAGAGCCCTTCACAGAGAGCTGATTTACAGCCAGGAAAAAACATGTAACAGTGTTCTCATTTTTGAGAAAGCTACTACTACTACTACTACTACTACTACTACTAGTCACGTATGAACTGCATAGCAGACCTGAGGTGAATAAACTGTACACAAGATGTCTATATTCAAGGAAGATTAGAAAGGTAGAATACTGCTTGAGACCTCAACCAGGGCAAGGCAATGGATTTTTCCAGTTTATTACAACTTGGCTCCTTATTAACATTTAATTACTAAATTCTAGAGCTGGGTTTCAGAGCTGGTATGCTTTGGTACTACAATATCATTTGGTGAAAGTACCACAAAGAAATATTTAAAAAGGTAATCAAGTCAGGATCCCCCAGAAGTGGGGGACCTTCGAGTGGGGACCGTTTCTGAAGCAGTCCAGTCTAAATTTGTGTGTGTGTGTGTGTGTGTGTGTGTGTGTGTGTGTGTGTGTGGGTGTGTGTGTTTTTTTTGTTTGTGTGGTTGTGTGTGTGTGTGTGTGTGTGTGTGTGTGTGTGTGTGTGCGTGTGCGTGTGTGGTTCCCTCCGGTCAGTGACATCAGTGCTTGTTGCCAACATTTACCAGTAACAGCTGAATAGGAGCACTGTGATGCTTATGTGTGTCACACTGTTGCTTTTAGTTGCATTTCAGTGTGTCAAAGCAGCAGCAAGGTGAACAGTGAAACAGCTTTGCTTCATGACATCAGTCTTTAATTCTACTCCCCACAGTAACTGCATTTACATTCTTGTAGTCACTGTGATACAGTAACAGTGGAAATGTTAAATGTTTTGTCTGGTAATATAGGACTAGTCCATGCTGCTAGTGGGTTTAGGCTGTTTCATTAAATGTGATAGAGGTGGTGATCGCTGTTAGCACAAAGTATGCACTGCACCTGTCTGCTTCATTGCTAGATGTGGTACTGGAAAGGAGATTATGCCTCTTCTGGTTTTTACTCAGCAATTTCTACCAGCATCAAAAACATCTAAGAAAAAACACTAATGGCCAATCATGATGCATATTTTGGGCAGTGTGATGCATGGTATCTTTGTAGCTGCAGCCTAGTTGGTTTTTTTTGTTTGTTTGTTTGTTTTTAATGTTACAGCTTAACCTTTGAGCCTACACATGATGTTTCTGTTGTTACACCATCACCACTTAATGGAGAAGTCTAAATGGTGGAGGTAGGTTATCAAGTACCTCAGGATGAATGTGCCAGGATATGCTGAAATTCACTAACAAAAGCAGTGAAGAAGCTAATAAACATGGATGCAAACAATGCAGGTTTAAAACTTTTGAGACGACTCTGCTTTCCACATGTTTTGTGAGAAATACATTCAACATGTCAAGTACAATGACCAGTTGTAATAAACCAAATTTATTCTTTACACATACAGATTATGTTGAGATTTAGTTCCTTACCTTTTGACAAGAATCTACTTTATGCACATCACAACTGTTAAGTAAACATGGATGAGAAGTCCTTTACTTCCTCAGAGAGGATGTATTTTTTTCTGCAATTCTGTGACAACTGGGCAAAATCTGTTAAGGAAGATGCTGTGATATGATTAAAAGCAACTGAATGAGCTCGCCCTGGCCACGGAACGGGACTTGGGGCGGTGGTGGGGGGAGCCCATCTACCGTAACGGCCAGCTGGCTGGGACAACCACCAGCAGTGCCTACAGCTACACCCTGGAGCGCCATGTCTGCCTGGGTTTTGTATCTCCACCACCAGGCCCAGAGGGGCAGCCCACACCCATCACCCCAGACTTCATCAACCGTGGGGACTATGAGGTGGATATTGCTGGCCAGCGCTACCCAGCCAAAGCCAAACTCTACCCCTTTAGCTCCCTCTTCACCCAACAGAAACGCCGGAAGGAAGATATGGAGCTCACCAACCTCCAGGGCAAGTGATGTCGAGTGATGGAAAACCTTCCATTTGCCTCGGTACAGGCTTGCAACACTCAATTCACCAAATCCACTCCTGCACTAACCTTGTGGTGCCAATCTATCTTCACTTTTTGAGCTCCTAGTCAGAGGGCTCTTTGCACACTCATTGTCCCTCCAATATTTAATTTCTCTTTCAAAGTGCAATATTTAAGTCATCAAAAGACTGAGCTGTATCAAATACAGATGTGTAATTAAATTAGTAGTTCTTCATCCCTACCCTTCTCTACACTCACAGTCTGCATTATTTTGTTAAGGCAACATCAGAATTAGTTGTTTGAGGACTTTCTAAATTTATTCACTTTAACCCTTTAGCCCTGCGATGGCGACCTGTCCAGGGTGTACCCCGCCTTCACCCGATTGCCGGCCGGGATTGGCCCCCCCCCCCCCCCCCCCGTGACCCCGCTCAGGGAACAAACGGTAGAAAATGAATGAATGAATGTATTTATTTTGAAGAGTCTATTATAGAAAAACAAGAGCGAGATAAATTGAGACCTATTAATCAAGTTAACATCTGTGTTTGTTACTGTGCTTATGCATAATAACACCCCAGAGTAAAAATCCAATAAGAGCCTTATCATGACCAATTAATAATCATTAAGTGATAGTTTGCTATGGATATACTAAAACCAAAGCTGACTACATGTATGCTCACTGTCCAACCTAATTTGCCACACATCTTAAAGCTGAGCAAGTTCTGGTGGACTGTGTGTGAGAGTAGCCCCCATACTCCTCCCTGTCCCACCTCCAGCTGTGAGTCAACATCTGCAATCAGAATGAAGCTATGTGAGACAGAGATGGATAATTATTTTTACACTTCACCTGGTGATTTATTTTTTAGACTTTATAATTAGTTATAATTGAGATTTATGTTTATGTTATGTGACTTGCTGTTGTTGATACAGTTGAAAAAAAATGTTTGCAGTTTCTTGGTTTTCTACATAAATTGGTCATGAAATGTGATCTGCTCTTCACCAAAGTCACGAATATCAACAAACAATGTTTCAGCTGAGTGAGCATCTTCCATAAACTACTTCCTATGGAAACTCTTAAAACAGTGAGCATGAAAATTAATACTCATATGACTGAAACACTCATTTGACCAATTAATAAGAATAATCATTTTAAGATCCACTTTTATTTAAAGCCATCAACTGCATCTCACAGTGAGCAGATGGACACTGAAAAGTGTTTGAAGTGAACCTTGAATTTAAAATTAGTAGGTCAAAATAGCTAAAACATAGTACAGCTTCTGTGTCACACTGTATTTCATGTCAGTTTCATGTACCTGCTGTCCTAAATTAGCTTAACTACATATAATGCTGCCATATTTACTATTTACTGTAGTTGTTGTTCCTGGAATAATGCTGACCGAGGAGTCAGCCTTGTCTCGAGCTCCGAAAAAAGTCACCGTGCAACTCTGCAGAATTCAAAAGCCTCCGAACGCTTCGCTTCGTGGTGAGTTGAAATTATTGTCAGAGTATGTCGGGTACATGTTTCAGTATACAACAGGCGAGCTGGCGCTGTTCCAGCTGAGAGAGGGTGAAACTTTCACTCCGGAGATGCTGAGGACTCCAATCACGGCGAATGATTGGGGCGTCCTGAGGTGCATAGTGATGGAACATCTCATTGAAAGCTACCAAGATGCTAATGATGAGGAAGAGGATGATGAGGAGGAGGAAGAGAAGGAGAACCGAGACCCAGCAAATAAGAAAAGATGATATCCTGTT